GATGGTGATGCCCTTCGTTTAGGAGGAGGAGGGGAGACTTCTTCTCTTTGGAGGTGGAGAAGGAGAGTATTCCTCTGTATTGGAGGAGAGTATCTCTTGGAGAAGGTGTACGCACCGTGGGGAGAGAGGTCCTGGAAAAACACACATTATTAAGCTTGAAAGGCCAACAGAGTAAAGGATAGTTTGCAAAGAAGAGTAACCAGGTAGTCATGGCTATACTGTAGTTACCACAAGGCAAAGGGAGTAATATTTATAAGTAGACATATTTATTCTCATATAATGTAAATGATCACTTAGTAAACTGTTTATCTTAGATGACTACAAAATAAGACATTCTGATAATGAGGAATTTGCAATTTTCACAAAATTTAAATTGTCAAGTCATTTGAATAATCTATATGAAATCAATTACTGTTTTTTCTTTTTTGAAAGGAGAACTTATATTGCTTGAGGAAACTGTGAGCAGTTATCATTATATAAATACCTAGGTACTACATTAGCAGGACTCTATTGACCATGGTCAACTTACTCAGAAGTCTGTGCTTTAAGAGCTTCCTATGTGGTGTCCTCCTCTGACTGGCGTTGGACTCTGTATTCAAAAATTAGAGTTCACTGCACAAGCTTTAAAGATAACTCCACCTCCTCCCAAAGAAACTGTTCCATTTTCTGTCTCAAAAGACCCTCTTCATGGAAGTCTACTGTGAGCGCACACCTCTCCATGAAACGCCAATCTGGTCTTCCTCCTTAATGCTTAATTCCTAATACAATCCTAACTATTCCTTAGGAATTAGACTTGATCATAAAACTCAGGCTAAAATGTCTAATTTGTTCTTGGATCTTTCAGACTTGAGTTCAAAATAAATTCCTGCCCAGAACCACCTGTGTAATAGGCCATTTTGGAGAACGTGGTAAAGTACATTTCATCATTGCACTTGGCAATTATTTAGTTAACTCGAACCTCCATTTCTTCACCTGTAAAATGAGAATACTACCACCTTACCAAGCAAGGTCACTTGAGGCTAGGTTAAAGATATAAATACCTAGCACTTTGTCCAGCACGTAACAGGCATTAAAGAGTGGTAGCCAGCCATTCATACTGCTTGCAAGTATCTGAGTAATGCATTAAAACACTGCCCCCCCCCGATTTTTATTTTAGAATTCAAACCTATAAAATTACCTCAGTACTAACTTAGATCAACTAAAATACCAATACCGACCCCCAGTCTTCTACTAATAAACATTGGTTTCTTAGATTCATGATTTTAGATCTCTTCAAGCTCTCACAAATCGGTGACTGTTCCTCAGTTTTGTCTTTCATGACTGACATTTTTGAAAGAGTACGGTCAGCAGTAGTTTGTAAAGTTAGTTTGGCAAGCATACTACAGAGGTATACGGGAAGTACATGATGCTACATGTGCATTATGGGGATGCTAACCTTGATTACTTATCAAAGGAGTATGCCGAGATTCCCTAATGTGAAGTTACTTCTCCTTTGTATCTCTAACTAGAGTCACACCATCTTTTAAATAGTTAACCACATTATTGCATACTATAAATCCACCCATTTCAAGTATACAATTTAATGGTTTTAGTATCATTGAAACAAACAAACAAACAAAAAACACAAACACTGGCTGGGCGGGGTGGCTCAGGCCTGTAATCCTAGCACTCTGGGAGGCCGAGGCAGGAGGATCCCTTGAGCTCAGGAGTTCAAGAGCAGCCTGAGCAAGAGCGAGACCCCATCTCTACTATAAATAGAAAGAAATTAATTGGCCAACTAATATATATAGAAAAAATTTGGCCGGGCATGGTGGCGCATGCCTGTAGTCCCAGCTACTTGGGACGCTGAGGTAGGATTGCTTGAGTCCCCAGGAATCTGAGGCTGCTGTGAGCTAGGCTGATGCCATGGCACTCACTCTAGCCTGGGCATCAAAGCGAGACTGTATCAAAAAAAACAAAACAAAAAAAACCCAAATACTGACAGAGGGCAATCTTTCGCCTTTGTTTACTTGCTGGAGTGTGTCAGGCTCCCTTGGCCTCACGGTATGCACAGGTACTGTTTGCTCTGCCTGAAATCCTCTTCCTTTTGCTTTTGCCTGGTGGACTTGCCCCACTGTATTACATGTTTCAGTTACATCTTGCACGTTCCCTTCATAGCACTTATCATAATAATGATTAAAATAAAGATGGTAAAACCTTAATTTCACCACCTTTTATTTTCCCTGCCCAACTCTCACCTCACCACAGAGCTAAAAACACATGGGGACTATGTCTTTTTTTTGAGACAGTCTCACTTTCTTGCCCAGGCTAGAGTGAGTGCCCTGGCATCAGCCTGGCTCACAGCAACCTCAATCTCCTGGGCTCAGTGATCCTACTGCCTCAGCTTCCCAAGTAGCTGGGACTACAGGCATGCGCCACCATGCCTAGCTAATTTTTTGTATATATATTTTTAGTTGGTCAATTAATTTCTATTTTTGGTAGAG